TAGTTTGCGTAATCAAACGAATTTATTTTTTCAATTAAACTATAAAATACATAATGTTACAAAATATTGCTTAATAATATTTCTCTGTTAATTATAACATGAAGTATTCCGCTTTCCTTCTTTTTTAACTGCACTCTGACTAACCGTGATCTTGAGCTAACATTGGACGTCGTTAAAAGTTTTAACCCAAACTTCGGAAATATTAGTTTTACTGAGTTCAAAAAGAAGTGTTCTTTTAATAAAAGGAACGTCATTGTTGAAATTTCATTGGACCTGGATAATCAATACCAAGTCGTAACGATACAGGGCCCTGAGTGCCAAGATGTTTAATCATGCCATATAGAAGAATTTTCTATTAACCGGTGAACTACAATTTCTCAAGCGGTCTTGAAACCGATTCTCGACATTTATTTCTTTCGTTGTAGTAAAGTAATGAGTTTGGAGGTGTGCTCACGCTCTGTTATTGCAGCTGAAATTTTTTATAAACAGCAAGGTATATTTATGCAATCTAATTAATATTTATGAAAGATAAAAATATTTATGCAATCTAATTAATATATGAGAAAAAATAAAAAATTTATGCAATCTAATTATATTTATGAGAGAGAAAATAAAAATATTTATGCAATCTAATTAATATTTATGAGAAGAAAATAAAAATATTTATGCAATCTAATTAATATTTATGAGAAGAAAATAAAAATATTTATGCAATCTAATTAATATTTATGAGAAGAAAATAAAAATATTTATGCAATCTAATTAATATTTATGAGAAGAAAATAAAAATATTTATGCAATCTAATTAATATTTATGAGAAGAAAATAAAAATATTTATGCAATCTAATTAATATTTATGAGAAGAAATAAAAATATTTATTCATGAAAATAATTTTATGCAATTTAATATTTTGAAAGAAATAAAAATATTATGCAATCTAATTATATTTATGAGAAAATAAAATATGATTATTTATGAGAAGAAAATAAAAATATTTTTCTATCGGTACTTGTTGTCAGATTTCGCCGAGTACAAATTTAAAAGAAAAGGATTTTTCTATGATAGTTCCCGGAACCTTTTTTAATACTTACTTACATTTTAAAGTAAATACTGAACCATGATAAGAGTATGGTTTTCAAAAACAGTTTGAAATCTTATCAGTTCATTCTGATGTACAAGAGCAATCCGTAAACCTGAGAATCTTTTTTTTTTTTTTTTTTTTTGTTCATACATAGGGATATCATTATTCCGTTTTATAACATAACTAACGTTAGTAACATAGATGAGAAGTAAAATTTAACTAAAAGGCTAATGGAAAGTACGTCCTAAGGTACAATTAAAATTTAATAAGTATTAGCTGTCTTATCTGAAGTGTTTCAGAAACTCAAATATTTATAAAAGTATATAACACAATCTAATCTTCAAGTTTAACTCTACTCCAACAAATGGGGATCTAAGCATGTGTTCCAATAGATATAAAATCCACTTATCGAATCCGCTGATCATTTAGGTGATAGGCTTCTGTTTCTCAGATTAAATGCTATACTGAGGGATAGTCATAGTGCTCTCCCTAAATTAAAATTTCGCTGGCTATTTAAACTCAAATTTATTTGCATTCTGTTGAAGGCTTATGGAAGAAATAGAACGCTTAGAAAAGAATTAATATAAGTGTTTTCTTTGACTACTATACACTCTTAATCGTATAGCTGTCAAATTTCTAATATTAGAGCATTGAATATCTCTTGGACTGCTAAACTTTCTGCGCGATGATTACTGTGGCACGAAAGTAACGTTGGATATTCCCGAATGTCAAATATTACCCACAATACAGTGGGAGCTCGATCTTGTTTGCCGTATTTGACGCCTGTGAGAGTGATGAATTAGTGAATTTGGTTTTTTAAGCTTCTTTTTATTTACATCAAGAGTGTCCAACCTGGGGTAATTTAATTTCTTCTTTAATTAGAAAATTGAATATGGTAAACACACTGCTACAGTCATTTTTTGTCACTGACTGCAAAATGATGGACAAATAAATTACTTTATCTCCATAGCTTCCACTACGTAAATTATTACCTACACCCAAAATTAAAAAAATTTTAATCCTTGAAATTTTAAAGAATAATTAATCCTTGAAAAATGTTGCCATATTCACACATCCACGTTTCAGAAAAATTTCTCATAACACATATATTTATTGATTTTTAAAATAAAAGAGAAAAAAATTTTAAATACTCTTTTTAACTTTAATAAATAGGAAAACTTTCTTTTTAACTTTAATAAATAGGAAAACTCTTTTTTTTAACTTTAATAAATAGGAAAACTCTCTTTTTAACTTTAATAAATAGGAAAGGCAAATGAATTATCTTTTCCTGGTTGTTATAACTTTCGTGCATGAGTTTGAAATAAAATTGTTGAAGTCGCACAAACAGGGAGTGAAAGTTTTAAGATATTAAACTACTGATAAATTAGTATTTACATGCTATAAAAGCTTGAACTAGTGAAAATTTCTTTTAAATTCATTCACAACAGTTAGTTGTAATTATTTAACCCGCGAGCACACGCGGCGGGTATGTCATACCCATGTGCACTTTTTCTTTTTGTATATTTCTCGCCCATTCTTTCATAAAAGGACGAAACTTGGTGTACCTGAGTTCAAGGTCACATACTTAAATGGGGGAAATTCCTGAGGTGGCAAGTGCAACGGTTTTTTAGGACCAGCATTGTTCGGGCATGTCATACCCGCGCGTGTACTGGCGTTTCTCAGTGAGTCACTTCACACTTCTCGTTTTCAAGCTTTTAGTATAAGTTTTTCTTGAGTTGTAAGCACGGGGCCGTATATTCCTTACGATGAAGAGATGAAAAGATTGAGAAATCTCCTTGGAAACAGTTTCTTTTAATGAGGATTCATTTAGTGAAGAAGAGGAAAATGTTGATGACGAAGAATATAATTAGTAATCATGATTCATCCATATAGAGTAGTGATTCAAATACAGAAACAGAAAATGAAACTCTGGAATTTAGCAATGAGTTTTATGTTGGAAAAAAGGGAGTAAAATGGAACAAAAATAAATTCCGGACTAATGTTAGAATTGGGGCCAAAAATATTATAACTAAACTCCCTGGAAATACAAAGACGTCTCAACACCTCTAGAGTCCTTGTCATTGCTTATCGATGAAGTTGATAATACAAATATTTATATTGATTCAATACGAGAAAATTTCTCTCGTGATCGGGATGAGTACTTTTCTCAAAGCCTTAGGGATGCAGCTAATAGAAAATGTTCAAAATGAACGACGACGAGCATCTGTGGTTTCTGATTCTGGACGAACAACTGACCACCGATGAACATGTTAACAATGGAACCGCCCTTCCAAAAAACCTGAAAATGACTTACAAGAGGTGTACAGAGTGCTCCAAGAAAAACGATAGAAAGACTAGATTCATTTGTTGTGAAAATTGTAGCAAAAGTATATGTATAGGAACATATGACCTCATTTTGTAAACAATGTTAAAAAAATTGTACGTAAATAATTTTTCCTCTCCTTATTGTTTCCTATTTTATCCAAAATGAAGTATTAACTTGGTTTTACATTTTAATTTCTTTTAAAAAAACCGAATAATTTTTTCGGCAAATTTTTATTTACAATTTTTTTATTCGGGTATGACATACCCGGCGCGTGTTCTCGTGTTCGTCGGATCGGTGCGTGTGCTCGCGGGTTAATGTCTGCAAATGCTAATATGACTTTTTAAATGTAATTTGAAATATTTTAATGAAATTAAATAGATATGAAATATTTATTTTCGAAAACTCAAATGGAAACGATTTTTCGCGATTTATCTATCATTTCCTTAGAAATAGTATTATTATAACTTATTATTACTGTTATAATTATTATTATTATAAACTTATTATTCGCGATTATCTATCATTTCCTTAGAAACAGTAAAGAATTTAATCATTTACATCCACAATGCCTACTAATATTCTGAAACCTCAGATCTGGTACTTATTGCTTTACAAAATAAAGAGCTTAGCATTATTTGTCATAACAGTACAAGTATTTTTTTCACTGTTTTGAGTTGCCATATATACCTATCGCATAAATACGAAATTAATTAACTTCAGTATCATTTCTGAATCAAATTCGTCATTTTCTAACCATCTGATGATTTTTGTTGGAAAATCGAGAAAAAAAAACGAATGAGTTGTTTTCTAGATTCTTCGAATCTATCATGCTTATTAAATTTTTTATATATCTTTAGGTAGAGTGAAAGTTACGGCACTTGATCAGGCGATTTTAATACCCAAATAAAATGGGTTATATATCATTTATTACAAGGGATTTCAACTATGACCAGGATTAATAGAATGTCTTAAAGTAATAGAAAGATTGCATATTTATAAAGTATGTATAGTGATTCTAGATCATCTCTATGCATTTCAATACCTCTTCCCCAGATTTTTGTTTCCTTTTCAAAGAAATATTTGGTTAGATCCGGTCTGCAGCTCCTAGTCATCGAAATAGTTGAAATTCGTGAAAATCACAAGTTCGTCGAAAATATGCAGGTAAGTTAGCTTTTTTGAAAGTGCTACGAGGAGAAAAAATTAAACATTTACGTGATGTCTGTAATTTGCGGACAAATCAATCAGCTGCCTTCGCTCCCTCAACGTATGAAAAGATTTTCCCTCTCATTTCAGATTTATTATTTTTAATGAGTAAATAGCTTTGAAGCCAGAGAATAACCCTTGTTTTATTTTTCGATAGTTCAAATGGCAACGGATTAATTTTGGACTGATTGTTACTTTGATGAAGTAAGACAAACATGCATCAAACCGGATCTTCTCAAAATTAAGCATTTATACTCTCAGAATCTATCGCATCCTGGAATTCGGTGATCCAGTATCTTATATATTATTAAATTAAATGCTTGCCTTTACCTATAAATATAAATACACATATGTTATATTAATTCTGCACACTGCCCTCCGAAGGTGTCGTGCTATCCTCTCGTATAAATACGGAATAAGCCACGTCAGCATCATTTTTGAAACGGTTTCATCGTTCGCTAACTATTATGAAGATTTTTATCGGAAAATCGAACGCTATGGGTAAGTTGTTTTCTAGACTTTCTAATACTTCGATTTTGGACTTTCTTAACACTTACATTAGCTGAAAAGTGGACACATTAATCCCTCGTTATTTGCTAGCTTAGCTTATAAGACTACAAGTACGAGACGATACAGTATACGACTATAAGTATAAGACTATACGTACAAAAGGTCGATGCAACGTTAGGCACTGACACTGACGCAGAATTTGAATAATATAGGTTTAATTTATAAGAATACAAGTAGACACAGAATGTTTATTTAAATATAATAATTGAGTTTAATCAAATATATTAATATTAATATAGTATACTACTACAGTAAAATTTAATTCAATAAAATTATTGTTGCGTGCGTACGGGTTCGTTATGAAATGAATGCACAAGTCCGATGAAAAATGAACAAAAATTTATTATTATCACAACAAAAATGCTTAAATTTTCTCAAATAATCGTGCAGTATCACAATATATCACAGTAGTTATCTTTTAACTATTCGAATGTCCAATAGAACGTAATTCAAAACAGCTGAAGAAGGCTAATCCGCGAATTCGCTACAATCAACAAGAGCAGTTTTCTAAACAACAACAAAATAAGCAACTCTAAGAACTGAGATGTTTTCCTCCTTTTATAAGATTTTAAAAATCACGCGCTAGAATTTTCTAGTACTTTCTCGAAATCAAAAAGAGATATTTATTTATTTAATGCACGCGCTCTTGTATTTTCAATTTTCCGGCTTAGCTTTCTTTTAATATTCGTCACGCGCTGCACTGCGCGGGAAATAAAACCAATAATTGAACCAATAATTGTTTATAATTGAACTAACATTAGTTTTTAAATACCAAATTCGTAACAATATTAATCAATATTTAGATCAAAAAGAAGATGAGTAAAGCTATATACTAGTCCTTTATTTTCTGTTTAATAAAGTAAATTTATAAAATTTTTATTGGGAAATCTTACTTAGAAGCTTCTGTTTCCAGCTCATTTAGAATTACGATATGATCTTCTAGAAACTACAGAATTAATTCTTGATAATTCGTAAGATTATTTCTGTGTTTGTTTTATTTGCTTGTTTCAGACCTTTTCATATTATTCGCTCTGTGATTACTGTATGAGATACCATAGTATTATAACTGGAGTACTATCTTTTGTCACAAATTATGGTCATAATATATGCTACTACAAAATTTCCTTGTTTATTAATGAATCAAGGAAAGAGAGTAAACCTCCCCCCCCCCGTCTTAGAAATGGACTAATATGTTTTACCCATGTCCAGAAAACCTAGAAGACATTGTCCTAAAATGAAAAAAGAATTAAGAACTGAAATGGAAAAGTTAATAAATAAATGTAAATAGTATAGTTTGTGAGAACAACAAAAATACTATAAATACTATAACTACTATAAAAATAATACAATATAGCATCCCCAAAAATAAGAATAATTTACGCTAAATTTTAATTCTACAAAAGAAAAAAATATATCTGTGAAAGATTTAGAACTAATTTCTCTAATTTGTTTGTTTTCCTTGACCGTGGATAATGAGGAATCACTGTATTTTATTAGTTAATCGTAATTGTTAAATATCTATACAGATAACATAATTCATTTGACAGATCTTTTGCTATACAGTAAATAGATTTCAAATAAATATTCCATATCCCGTCTGCTATTTATTAAATTATAAATTCTACATATGTCCTTATATAGATAAGGTAAGATAATAGTATAACATTACTGTGGGTTCTTTAGTTTCAAAATCACAATTCATGTTCAAACAAAGCACATTTAATGAAACATTAATACATCTATAAAGATCGTTCATCTATTAATACAGAATCTATACCATCTTACATCTATTAATACAAGATCTATATCATCTTACATCTATAAAACAAAGTGGTGAGAGTTCTACCAATTTCACTCGTGCAGTCAATAGCTAAAAATTAAACAGCGCGCGAGGAAAAATATTAAGCTATGGATTTAAAATCCCACATTCGGTCTTCCTGCTATGCGTCGACCTCGACGACATTATTCTACTCTTGACAACATAAATCATTGGTCATCTTACATCATCTTTGTCTTCGGTAAAAGAACCATCACCATGAATAAGCCGAAATCTGAAAAGAAATACGAAGGGAAAAGGGGAAGATTGTGTGCTAAGGACAATATTGAAAGGAAACATCTTAATTGTCCTTCATCTTTGCAACTATAACATCGTCAACAGTCCCTGCTATTTTTTAGAAAATTTCATCTGAAATGAAAAATATCTTCAATCTTTAACGTTTTCGAAACTTTCATTTCATCTTAACATTAACTGAAATAAAAGTCATTATTAGATGAAAAATCACAGTTAGGTTATCAGTTGCATCACTCCAGATTAAAACATCATAGTCAGTATTATTTTATACATTTTCTTTTGCTTGAGTCCATGGTTTTATGTAGTCAACGCATGTAGTTGTTTTTGTGGGTCTTTCATGATCTTCTTCTTTTACAACATCATAAAAGTCATTCTTTATTTTGACAAATCTTAGACGAGCCTAAATACTTTGATTTTAACTTAATGTTTGGTCCAAATTGCGTTCTTTTGATTGCTACTGAATCATTAATTTCGCAACATTTTGAAGAACGTCTTCGAAAGTTATACGTTTTTTATTTTCTTCTTCTACCTTAAACATTTGTTTTTTCTCATCTTTTCGGAGCTCTTCTCGGTAAGTTTCAAAACTATTATGAATTTCTGCGTCAATTATTTCTTTAATGTTTTCTTTTCCAGAATTATAATCAGCATCTGCTTGGAAATTAGAAGCATTCTGTTTGCTTACTCCCGATATAAAATTAACAGCTATATTGCTTTAGAAAATCTTGTTTTGGGGACTGAAGGTTCTTCACGGGAAGATTTACGCCTCTTATATGGCCTTGTCTTAGGATTAGTTGATTCGTAAGTTGAAGTCGCACTAGAAAATGTTGTTGGAACAGCATCAGCATCACCTAGGTCTCCATAATGTTCCCAATCATCAGCATCAAGAATTTCTTGCAACTGACGAAATTTTTCATCAGTGATACACATTTTTCTTTCCATTTCTGCTTGTTTAGCAAATAATCTCTTCTCCATAATTTTTCTCATGCGATTCTTTTCAAAAGGTAGCTTTTCTTGCATTTTCAGTTTAACATGTCGAACTTCTTTTTCTTGCTCAGACAGGATTCTATCTTTGGCTCTCCTCTGAAATTTTACAGCTTTTACTTCATTCTTTGCTTCTGATAGTTGTTTCTGTAACATTTCTGTAGTCTGTTCTGATACAGAAAGTTTTTTACAAAGATCTAACTTGTTGTTCAGGAACATTCAAATCCATTTGTAAAATAGTTTTTTCCTGCTTTAGTTGTTCTTTACCTATAATTGGTAAACGTCTGGGTCTCAAAGAAATAGGTTGGTCATCTTTTAAAATAACATGCATTTCGGTATTAGTAGATTTTCTTTTGGCTTGTGTTCCCTTAACTTTTTCAGACATACCAGGATCCAATTATTTAGCTGGAAATTTCACTTGCTGTTTACTCTTTCCTACTGTTGATATTCCTGTTTCACCAGAATTATCTTCAACCAGTTTCTTAAATTCTGAATTCTTTCTTTTTCTAGAACTTCTTGGCTCTGAAGTGGGTTTTTTGGAATAATTAATGTTTTCATTACTCTTTTTGATTTTCTGAACTTTCTTAGGTGGGTTTTTTTTCTTCTTCCTTTAGGAATGGAGTTCTTCTCTTCCTCTACATTTTGCAATTTTCCTTTCCCACTCTTAACATCACATTTTTCTTCCTGATACTCCTCTTCCTTTAATTCAACAGCATTTGTTTCCTCTATAGGGTTATCAGTTCTATTAGAAATATGACTTTCAATTAAGTGTTTTACTTTGGAATTGCATGCTTTATTAATATCCGAACTATTATCTAACTCATTTTCTTGATCAATACTTATAGACATTAAATTCAATTCAGTTTCGTCATTATGATTATATTCTTCTTCTTTCATAGATATGCCATTCTTGTTTATGACAATTTTCATTTGCGAAAGCAATTCATTTCCAATAACAGCATTTTCTTTCATTGCTTCTTGAGGCACAACATAAACATTTGATTTAATTTCACAATCATCGATTCGTATTGGAACCTTTAAAATAACCAATAGGCTTTACTTTATTGTTACCAAAACCTACTAGAATCAAACTGGAAGAATTAATATTAGGTGAACCAATTATTTTGTAAATATTTTCCGATACTATATTTATATCGCTTCTTGTATCAATCAGAGCTTTTACTTCTACATTATCTATCGAAACAGTTTTATGCATATTATTTAACTGCTTCTTTACAAATATATGATTCACTCTGGCAAGATCTTTTATATTTGTCTTATTTCTTGTACATTCTGCGGCTTACGTGTCCAAATAAATTACAAGGAAAATATTTTTTCCCTTGCCCTTATTTTTGCAGAAATTCTCTACGTGACCAAGATTCCCGCAGTTATAGCAACGAATATTTGTTTTTATTTTACTTTCAAAATGGTCGCTTCTGGTTTTAGAATTAGGCTTAACGGACTTATTTTTATCATTATCTAATTTAATTTTTTCATACATCTTAAGTTTTTCCTGAAATTCTGCCAACTTTTTACAACCATAAAGAATAGCTTTATTAAATGTATAATCACTTATACCATTAATAACATATTCAAAAAAAGCGGCGTTTTCAATATTAACTTTGGAACATAGATTTTTAATTACCAAAAAATATTCATATACAGATTCCTTTTCCTGCATTTTACGTTTTGATAATAATTCATGTAACTGAGCAGAGTTATACTGACACATATTCATTTACTAATAAAGCCTTAACTGCATTCCACGATTAATTTCGTTTCACTTCAATAAATAATTTTCTTTACCAGTTAAACATCTTTTGGCGAATATCAGTTTTGTAATTCATTTAGTTTTAACAAATTAGATACATCCTTAAAG